AGGCAAGGGCAAGGTTTGGCAATTGTCTTTTACTTGCTTTGCGGGGGGATCTGCGAGGTGGAATGAGCAAACGCTTGGGATGAATGTAGGCGCCTTCATCATTAGAATAGGGTTTTGGGGTATAACTAACTATAACTATCATTAGGAATCCCCATAATAGTATAGATTATTGTTGAGGCCAGTTGAGGCCCCTACATTATGGCTTCGAGGTCTTACCTTCGTCTCCTGGAACTTCCGCAGGGTTCACGCTTTGCTACTTGAGTTTGGGTTTAGGGTTTACAGTTTAGGGCTTAGGCCCACCCTCCCGTCCCCCGCACGAGAAGGAATGGCAAAGAAGGATGAGTATACGGTTTCTAGACGGGCTTACGCTTGAGAAACGTCTAAATGAGTTCAAAATGATGTATCCACCAGGCTCTGGGCACTCGACACCAAGCCAGCTTCGCGACACTTGGGGGTTTCTCGGAACCAGTTTTGTTTTTGACCAGCCCGCAACAATTGAGGTTCATGGAACAGCCTCAGACTTTCATGACAAAGAAAGCAAGAACGACATGGAGACCAACTGATAGTGAGGCCTGTAAGCGCTAGCTAACTTGACAGTAGCAATATCAACAAGAAGAACAGCCGGAAGAGTCACAAACATTCAAGTCACTGTCAGAGCAGCACTCAGAGACAAAAAACAAGCAATGACTACGTGCTACAGTACCAAACCACCTGAAAACAAAAAAACATAACACCGCACATGAGGTAAGGAACATAGCAGTATAGACACCGAATAGCCATAAACCCGTTCCAATGAAGCTAGCAAGTCTGGCATGACCCTCTTTGGTGAGGTGCAAAACCCAAATCATAGCCCCAAGCCTTATCCCCAACAGCCCTAAACAGCAAGTCCTAAGTTTTAATTCTTGACGCTTCATCCAACATCGTGAAGCCCTCAACCCCGCTCCATAAAATGTTTTTACAGAACGCTGGTACCAGACCGTTGTAAAAGAAACCTTCAACAACCCTGCAACCCTTATCCATCTTCAAGCCCAGAGTAGTGTAGGGGCGTTAAGCTATAGTAGGCAAGCCTTGGGAGAATATTGGTGGATAATGTTGCTATTTGTTCGAAAATTCCTTCCATGTTGCCAACAGTGAACGCCAAAACAAATATACGGGCCTTAACAACTAGAATAAGGTTTTTGGGACCATTACCCTATACTTATAATCAGGCACCCCCAAAATAGTACAGCAAAAAAATTAAGGACCCTATACCCTAAACCCTAAACCCTAAACCTTCGTTATGAGGGCAAATTTGCGGCCTCCAGGTCGTCTCGGCGTGTCTGATTGATGCCCTAAAAGGAGAGCGAGGCTTTTGGTGTTCTCTAAGAGTTCCTACTTAGGGTTTAGGGTTTATAGGGTTTAAGGTTGAGGGTTTAGGGTTCCGACAGGTTTTGTTCTACAATGGTTGTATGAAGTTTCTGCACGGGAAGATGAGGCTTGGAGCTTGTTTTGTTGGTTAAGGCTTTTGGGGTCTTGGGGTTGAGGGTTTAGGCCTTTTCAGCCTTTCAGCACGCACAACTGGGACAAGCCTGGCGAGGTTTCCGCTACGACGAAGCGCTTTGGCTCGGTCTCCCAGGGTTGGTGTGGGTTTTTGTTGGATTTCCGGGTTGGAACTGCGCAAAGTTTTGGGTGAAAAGGCCTTCGGACGAACAGAGCTGGCAGATCGTCGAAGAAGCATTGAGCCAAGATGAGTCCTAGGACATAGATCCTGAGACCAATGAGTGCACGAGTCCCCCGCCCGAAATTAACTTCAAGACCGACTCATCCGGCCCCAAATAGTGAAAGCTTCAAAGACCCCAAGCCTACAGAGAACAAGCTGCACGCATGCATTCACAGACATGCGCCGAGACAACATGGATAGACACTTCGGAGCAAGGTAGATGTTTACAAGCTTGCCTTCAACCTGGTCAATTCTGTCTCCAACCAACCTTTTACCAACCAAGAACACAACGCCGGCCTTGTGCGTGCTGATGGAGGCGTATCGGGCGGTACCCACCATACTGTTCTTGGTCGTCATGCAGATGTGCCTCCTGCAAGGTACAAGGGCAAGAAACGACCGCTTAAGAGAAAAATAAAGCCGGCCCAATACCTCAATCTTTGGATTCAGAAGCATGCCGGACTGTGCCCCTGCAATTGTACCGCCACTTTCCAATACCATTGCTGCTGCTAGTCCGGTCAGGGTAATACGCAAACGCAGCTGCGGTAGCGGCGGTCGTAGCAGCCAGTAATCGTCGTCGTGATCGTAGTAGCACTACTATGACTACTATTACTATAGCTACTACTACTACTACTA